TGGGTTGAAGACGGAGATAAATGTATTCTGGGTGAAAAGAATGAATGCATATTCACATCCCAAATGTATATAATTGTGAAAACGTGCTGTATTTGGTTGCTGCCATGGATATAGTAGAATAGCTAATGTGGACTAATGTGGAGAATAATTGGAAAAGGAATGAAACCGAGAAGGATGGCCAGCAGAGGATACGAAGGAGCCTGCATGTGTACCTCACTGATCGTTTGAACATTATCCTGTAAATAAGACATTTTCCAGAAAAAAATAATGCGAGGTTTGTAATTTAGGGGAAAAAATAAGTCAAAAAAGTGAAGAATGAACTGAAAAGTTATTTTGGTCACAAAGGCAAGAGCTAGAATAATTTAGGTGGGAGAGAATAGATTCTCAAACGAAGTTATGATTGTGAGATGGAAAAGATGAAGCTAATTCTGAAATTAGCTGTGCCTTTTAAGAGAAAGGGGGAGGGGTTAAGAAATTTTCAGGTGAAATTATTAAAGTGATTGTTCACAAAGACAAGCCATGGAGAAAAGGGGCCAAGTCTGTGAACATAATGATTCCACTGAAGAGTCTATGCTGTCCTCTAGTGACAGTGTAGAAAATACAGTCCTGGCATGTGGAATAAGCTGTGGGCCAGAGCAACCCCCTGAGGAGTCAGCACAGGGCAGGTGCAAGACTGGGAACGTGACTGACACGCCCTGGAAGCAGTGAGCTGGGAGACATAACAAGGGCCTAGAAGAATAAGCCAGGGATTAGGAAGCAGGAAGAGCAAGAGAAGTCAGTGAAGGAAAAGACAAGGCAAAGTATACAAAGAGGAAGAATTTGGTCTTGAACTCAGATGATCCACCCGCCTCGGCCTCCCAGAGTGCTAGGATTACAGGCATGAGCCACCATGCCTGCCCCAAAGAGACATCGGAAAGGAAATATGGTATGTCTACGGCTCAGGAACAAGAGGGCTTTAAGGAAAAAGGTCAACAGAAGCCAACAATACAGAGTTCAGGTAAGATGCTGGTGGGAAAGAAAGGCACCAGATTGTTTGTGATGACCTGAATGATCAGGCCTTTTAGAAAAGTCAGGTGTCAGTGGTTAGCAGAAAATGGAACATGATCAGACAGAATGTAAATGCGAAACAAGGAAGAATCCGGCAATAATGAACGGGAAACAGGTAAAACCAAGAAAAAGTGAGGTTGCGGAGCTGATACTTGCTTTTCCTCATTTTGTTTCATATATTTTTTTTTGTACAGAGAAGTGACTTGAGCATAGTTACAAGCTGAATGATATAATCCATTTGAGAGTAGGAGAAAGGAACAACTCAGAAAATAAGGGACAAGATTGGATAAAATTAGGAACTAGAGAGGTATAAGCTTTGAGCTCCCTTTGGGGCAAAGCAGGACATGCCTTGTGAATCATGTATGGACCATATGGCACTGATGGGCCAGGTAATGTTGATACTGGTAGTGGCAACTTGTCACATCCAGGCATGGGAGTTCTCTAGGTAAGAGTCACATATCTAGGCCTGGAATTTGGAAGCCAGAAGGGAAAGTGAGAAATAGTGACACTTATCAGGAAAAAGTCAAAAATGTGAATGCTTGTTCTTGGGCCTAAAAAAGACCTTGATTTTTAGGTAAATGAACTAGTAGGAGGAAGATATAGGTATGGAGAGGAGGCTATGTATTCTGTTGTGATCAAGGACTTGGAACTTGGAGTCAGATAAAAGTGAGTTCATATCTCAGGTGGAGTACATCCTGTGTGTGTGACCTTATGTAAGACACCTGGCCACACCCTGTTTGAGATTGTTCCTGTGTAAGTTGAAGGCAATGGTAATATTTTTATCAGATTTTTTTAAGGAATAAATGAGATATCAATATAAACTGTGCATGGAGCAAGATAAGAAGCTGTCATTAAAGCTTATATTTGTTTTTTATTTTAATTATACAAACTAAATATGATAGTGTGACAATTGTGAATTTTCCAGCACAAATACTCCATGATGTCTGTGAAGTAGGAGGAAATCACTGGATGGGGCAGACTAATGAGGCCCAAAGCTTTGGGAAAGAGGCATCATGAGGAAGAAGAGAAAGTGACCAGAAACACAACAAGAGTTTGCCCAGCCGAGTCTAAGACCCAGCCAAAGGAGGGCTGTGTTTTTGATGTTGCTACCCTGGTTAGTCCAAGGTATTTCTCCAGGATTAGGAGACATGAGGAAGAACACAGAGGCACAAGCAGATGAGAAGAGTATCAGTGGAGGAAAGAACACACGGAGGGAGCTGCTGAGGCGACTGTTGAATCAGGGACCCCAGCTGGTCACAGAAGAAGTGAACTCAAGAAGGACTTGAGAGGCTGGGAGACTGCACAAAAGTCAATGATGTCAATAATTTGAGAATCACACAGGACAACAGAGTGGCAGTGAGGAAAACTCTGGAAGTGGGATTTGGGGATAAGAAGCAGAACAAAGACTTCTGAAGTGGAGGGGAGGTGAGGAGTGAGATCAGGAGGAACAGAAGAGACAGGGTGACATGGAGAAGGTGCTTAGGTGAATGACACATGAGATGACTGAGAGTGACGGAGTTTCCAAGGGCAAGAAACCTGAGCCAGCTGCCACGAGATTTCGTCTGTGATGCTGACAAGAACATTTCGAGATTGACGCCGCTAGATGATAAGACTGTGGAAAGCTTAGAATGCTTTTTACCTGTAGGTTTCCTCCGTATCCTATGGAGTCTATAGTAATATTGCAGAGACTGAAGCTAATACGGGATAAAGAAGTGCCAATATCTTCCTTTACCCTGCGGTCCCAGTGCCCAGCAAAGTGGCTCCCACGTTGATACGTAGGTGTGCAATAATTGCTTAGTGAATGATTCCATATTCTATCTAAATATGAGTTCATGAAACAGTTCATCACTTCCAAATCACAAACCAAAGACTTCAATACCCATCGGAAAAAAAATACAAATCTTAATTTTTGTAAAATTGGGAATTTTAAGATACCCAAGCCTCCCTTCCAAATCACAAATGCTAGTTGCACTTTAGTATTTTTCCTTCATTCATGAATTCAGCAAATACTCATTGAACAACAACTACGGGCCAGGCACTGTTCCATACATTGGGAAAAACAGCGGAGGGAAAGGCAAACAAGGCCCGAGCTCGCGGAGCTTAATTTGAACGGGGGTGGGGGAGGGGGAAGCACAGACGGTCAGCATATAAAAATATATATGTTAATTTCGGTCGGGAGAAAGGCTGCTGTGAAATTAAAATAAGTAGTGAGACAGAGAGTAACCAGGAGCGCTGAAGCACAACTCTTACATAGGAGACAATCAGAAAACGTCTCCAACAAGGTGACATTTAACTGGCACCTAATGGATAAGAAGGAACTGGCCACGTGAAGATCAGGAAATATTCTAGGCGAACAAGTGGGGCGAAGGACCTACTGAGAGATCAAGTTTCACAGAAAAGGACAAAAGCAAGATCACTATGCCTGTCCTAGAGTCTAGTGTGCAAGCCATAGCTTTTCCCAAATGCATACATCTTTAAGCACGAATCTGAGCACAGCGTATAGGCAATTTTCAAGCCCTGTGCAGTGGTTAAGAACAGGCTCTGAGTGACAATGCCCACATTTAAATCCTGGCCCCTCAATGTCTAGCTCTGTTATCTTGGGGAAATTTAACTAATCATTTGACACACTTTCTTACCTGAAATATGGTAATGATAAGAATACTTCCTTTATAAAGCTGTTGTAAGAATTAAATGAATTATTTAGTTGTAAAGAACTTAGGGAAGTGTTTGACACATAAAAAGTGCTTGTTATATAAAATATATATTATATAATACTACATATATGACTGTATTATATAGAAAAGATAATCCCTTTGTTATTCTTACTGATTATTTTTTTGGTTCTGAGTATTACCTAATTTAATTAACTCTATAGGAAGCATGTTGTTTTTAATTTTCCTGCATCATAAATCACTTAACAACGAACAGCATAATCCTGCTTTGAGATTTTTCACGATAGTAATCGCCTGATAAAGTAATGGCTGATTCTTTAATAATTTTTAGTTACTAAAAAAGTTTAATAATTGGCTCATTACTGATAAAGTAATGGCTTTTCTTTAATAATTTTTAGTTACTAAAAATGTTTAATAATTGGAGTTATGAAAATTTAAAATTATATGTGTGACTCACTTGTATCAAATGAAAATCAGCAGCAGCAAATGTAAGTGATATTCCTATAAATTGATTATTGTGAATTATCAAAATAAAAACAAATTTTAATTAACATCTACACCATAATTGTGTAATGTTAAAGGAACTATACATTATAATCTATTTGGTCTACGTTAAATTTATTTTTAAAAATTATACATATACTTACGTCTATAGTCTTAATATCTAAATTGAGAATTTCCAAAAGGCATAGTTGATACAATAAATACAGCATTTACTGGGTTTGTTGATATAGGAAACACAAACCTAAAAGAAGACTTTGAGATTGATTAATCCACCTGCTCACTTCTCTAGATGAGGTATATAACCAGGCTCTAAGTCACGTTTCTGCAATCACAAAGCTGCAACTTAACAATTTTTTGTATTATTATTATGATTTATTATTAATTTTTTCTTTTCCTTTAAAGTCTAATAATTTGTGACTTATAATGCTTTTATGTTATATTATCAATTGAATAGCAATATTCCACATTATTGAGTAGCAGATTTTAAACATTTTTTATAATCACTAAAAACATCATTTCAAAATGTCAACATTTTAAATATTAACTTTTTCTATTATCTATGGTGAATGATATCATTATAAAAAAGTCTTCTAATTTTATATAGTAAAAATTATAAAGTCTGAAATGAAAAATTTTTTCAAATTAGGTTTCCAGGAGATTGGAGCAAGCCATTATATAATAAATATGTATAGCTACTAACTCAATAAAACCTTATTTTTTCTGAAATGCATCTACTATGTTGTATGCTTTTTAATCTTATTTCATTTCGGTTTACAGAAAACTGGGCACAAACCAGAAAGTGTGGATTTGTATGGGGCACGTATTGAATGGGCCAAGGAAAAATCAAGCAGAAAGAATGTCTTTCAGGTAAGAATGCTACTTATATCCAATTTACTATTATTTCCTTCGGAACTAATTTTCTGAAGGTCATTATGAAAAATTAACCTGTTGAATCTTGGGTTTGGTTTGTTGTTTTTCCCTGGTGTTTAGTTGCTATCTGAACATAAAATATCTGTCATGCGTGGATTAGTTTTACACACAGATCATTGAATTTTGTGCTATCTTTGATAGTTTGGGGTTTAATTGTGTTGGAGTTTAAACACAGAATGCTTGACAAATACTTTTAATATAGAATTTTCAGATACACAGAAACTAAGAGCCACTAAGCTATTTTCATTCACAGACACTCCTGCCTTCTAGTCATTAATTATAACATCACCAGTGTATCTTTTGGGATGGGGCTGAATGGATAAAACAAATCCTTCCATATTGCATACTTTAATTTTCAGGAAAAAATTTATGATTATGATTAATAATTGTAATAATGTACCATTACATAGAAAGAACCAGATGAAATCCTTAAGAGAAACTAAAAACTACATAATATTAACCAAAATCATGTAAGTTAGTGTATTTCTGTGGCAATTAATAATTTTAGATCATGGAGCTTGATCTTTTTCACTTTTATATGAAATTTCATATAAAGTAAGTTTTATAGGTATATTTTAGAATTTATATCATTTAGTAGTCAGGGATCCAGATTATTCAAATTTTTTTTAATTAAGTATCTTCTAAGGGCATTTGACCTTTGAAGGAAAGCCAATTCTTCTGTTCTTAAATGCTGTGCAGAAATTAATTAATATGTTAGGTTTTATAGATACCTAGGTAGCTGACTTTTCCTGTCTATATTCTCACTGGAGGGAGAAAAGTTAGCTTATAGTTTGATCTATATTTTCCAAATGGCAATTCAGTTAAATCCAACTGATTTAGGTTTCAGATTACAAAAACACAACAACAACAACAACAACAACAAAGACATTTTTAACATATTCTGGAGTAAATTATTTTTCTGGTTCTAGTTTACTTTATTTGGGTATGAAAATTATTTTTATCAAAAAAGAAA